TGCAACATGGTCCGTGTCGATTCTTCAACTCGAACATGTTTGACAGATTTGCTCATAACTTTCTGCTCCAATGTTGGATTTGTGCGATCTTGGTGTCTATGCGTATATATTGAAGAGAGCTTTTCAATGAGGTAGAGACACGTAATTTGGACTTGTAGAGTGGAAGTTATTGGCCTTGCGAGATTTGACTTTTTAGGCTTCGTGTTTTTCCCCGGAACAACTCCAAATGTTCCCGTTTCGTCTGTGATGTTCCGTAGTCCATGTTTTCCACTCCTTTTGCTCTCTTTTATGCATGAATACCTGTTTTGACACCAAAGAAAGCAACCAAGCAATATCGAGACCAAATGTGCTCTAGAATGCCTATAAATATGCAAAACCGAGTAAAATGCACTAGACATCCTATACCAAAATGTCACCAAAATACATGTTATCAAACTCCCCCAGACTTAAACCTTTGCTCGTCCTCGAGCAAATACTCCATGAAAAGCGGTCTGAAAGGAGGGCGAGACAGTGACATAACTCAAAATGATAATCGAGAGCGAAACCTCTATCCGACCTAGATCCCCGTGAACAATGATCAAGTCTGTCTAGTATGATCTCCCTCTCTAAAGGATAGTCTTTCCTAGCTATGGGATCTATACCGCTACCAAGAACCAATCCAAGAACTTCAATCATCTACCAAGCATGTTTCTCGAACCTATCACGCCATTCTACCTAATCGTATCTAGTCTACGCTTTCAGTATTCATTCTTTTTCTTCTTCTTTTTTTTTCTTTCATCTAGCTAGTTTTTTTTTCTTTTGCTAGCATTTCGGGTTCCTAGGACGTTGAAGTTGAAGGGTTCATAATCGCTCTTTTTGTCGATTTTATTTGTTGGATGACCCGACCCACAACTTAGACCCGAACCATCAAATTGATGCACTCATGTCCTCGAACGATTTTCCTTGACGAGATAATGACAGCGGAGTGTAGAGATGCTCACTAGCTTTTTCTGCACATAAAGAAATAAAAATGCATTTGATAATAGACTTTACCGATTCCAGCAAACATGGAAAAGGTTCTTATAGAAACGTACTCTGAATATCCGAATTTTTAGTTCGAATACGAATCGAATAATAGATCGATTCAGTTTTTTCGGATATTATGTCTCCTCT